GTGCACCAAAGGTCACAACAAGAACATTTCTACCCCAATCCTGCCATTTGAACCAAAATTTGCTTTCTTGCAATATTAAAAAATATTGTTATTATCCATTGAGGTTGACATTACCAGTATTTAATAGTATATAACATACAAGTATTTCATGTTTAAATTTACAATTGAAATTTAATAATTAATCCATATATTTACTTATGTATATTATTAGCTCATCACTGACAATACTTTTAAGGTAACAACAAATCTTTTTATCTTCCAGATGTCTAGGGACCACCCAACACTTGAAGGACAAATACGGTGGAGGCTATCTCTTAGAAGCTAAGCTGAACCTTGTTGCTTTCGCAAGGGGGGCCGGGGACACGACAGCCCTCCTGGAAGATAAACTGACAAAGTTCATCCGACATGTGCGTACCTTCTTCCCCAGCGCTGAAGTCATTGAGTGCTTTTCAGAACGTGTGACTATAAAAGTACCGAGAGATGAAGTGAACTCGCTGGCTAAAGTTTTTGAGATCATGCAAGAAGGTGGGCTTAAGATGGGACTTGCCATGCCAAATCCAGCATCAGCGACTAAAACATGAAATTTTACTTTTTAATATACTTCATATTATAAGCTTTAGAAAGATGGTTATTTACTGGAATTAAATTATTATTGCCAAAGTTATGAGTAGATTTAACAGCGATAGTATGCTGGTGTTGGAATGGCAAGCATCATATATATGTTATTTTGCACAATATAAATGATTAACCTTTAACCTTTATGTGTCAATAATACATTTAATGTATTAATATATTAATTTAAAGTTACAGTCTTATATTTAAATAGGTTACTTGCTTTAAATTATTATCAAGAGAGAAAAGAAGATAATAAGGGAAAAAATAATGTATTACATTCTAAGTGCTTCATTTTAAAAAGAGTGTTGATAAAATACATTCTGTATGCTGTATATTCTTTTTACTGTATTAAAATACCTTATGTGTTATGTTGTTATATTAATGCAAATAATTTTTAAAAAATAAATAAAAACAAAGGTGGGTAGGTTTTAAAAGTACTAACATAGTAGTACTCTCCACATTTGGTCATGTGATCGTGTAGTGTGAGCCAATTATAATCCTGCATATTTCCTAGTACCATATTTATTGAGGGGATAAGCTAAATATGTGAAACAATACGATGCCTTATAAGGGAGCGAAGATGTTTTTAGTTGGGAGAAAATTTCCTGTACTGTCAGGATTTAAACCCATGTGGCAGCTACCGTGTGTGCTGGGAACTGTGAAGATCGTTTCAGATCTGCATACAAGTTTACAATAGTGCACCGTCTTTTGGATAAGAATTTTAAGGTATTGATCTTGTGTAAAACATGGTCCACGTGCATGTTAAAGAATGCTGTGCATTCTCAGAAAAGACTAGGATTATTGAAATCTCGTTTATTGCCCAATTTACCACCGAGAAGATCCGCTGAACAAGTGTTTGGACTTACAGTAGCGTTTCATACTCTGTGCGTTTTACCCCAAAAATTCTGTGTCTCGCACTTATAATAACGTTTGTGAGAAATTTGAACCAGGTCTCTTATAATTGAAAGTCAAGTATCATAACTACCTAGATATCCAATCTAATTATTATTTTGTTTTATTCCTTTGCAGGAAAATCTGAGTTTGAAATTGAAGAATACAGCTTTAGTCAATCCACCCTTGAACAGGTAAGTAGGCATCTGCTTTATGAAATCTTTTAATTTTTTCAGTCAGAAAAAAAAAATTTTTCTTATCCTAGACAGTATATACAGGGGGGTCACAAGTTGGAAGAAGCCACTTCTGTGAGACCTGTTTATATGAAGAGCTTTCTTAACATATTTAATGGACCAGTAACACCAGGGTAACTCCCTACTCTTCTCAAAGGATGTACTGGGTTCTTTAAAGTGCACACGAGCCAATTGTGTACAAAAGGGCCTATGGTTTATAGTCCGTATCCGAGAAGACTTGTTCCACCACCGGAACCATAGACGGGGTGCCGTTCGCCAATATTATTGCTGTATGTCCCAGTTCTCCTGTCTTGACCGCTCATCCCCAGTCCGGCCACAGAAGGAGCGTTTACCACACTACGTAAGCAAGATCATACACACTAGCTACTGTACGTAGTAACTCGAGAAGAAGATGAACGCATCTAATGGTAGGGGGTAAAGGTAGGAGAATAACCCATAACTCGCGGAATCATTGTGCTGAATTGTGTATGGGCGTGGTCCATGACTACCTAGCGGCTGTAAAGAGGCACATATAGTAGCTACATGTCCGCATAAATCCACAACGATTCTATTTTGTTGTGATACCCATCGGTGCTGACTTCTGAGAGGCAATTAATAATACAGTAGTAAAAACCTGCAAATATCGTGAATTTGCAGAAGATGGGTTATTATCCGGAAGCCTTCCCAATTTCTAGGAGACTCCTGGGTGTTGGGGAAGACTTTGGATTCCTGGTATATATGGTATAATCTAATTAATTGATTACATAGTTAATTTGTACATACTTTGTTATTTTATTATATTTGTTATACTTTTTATATACTGTAGTTATTTTTATATATACTTAGTTGTATTTATGTGTTTACTTTTTTTTAGGTATTCATAGAGTTCGCTAAGCAACAAGAAGAGATTGATGAGGAAAATGAAGAGCCTACACAGGAGAATGAAATCCACCGATCAAGGAGAGTCCAGCCTAAACCACAAAGACAATACTCACAAATATCAGTTAACTAAATATAAATGGTTGCTGGGATACTATATCAACTCCTTGTTGTTCAATAATTTGTCGGCTCACTATATTAAAGCAGAGGAACACTCTCACGCAGGAGAGATTCTACCATACAACAGATAAAATTCATTTTAAAAAAGAGATAATAGTAATGGAATTAAAAAAAAAAAAAAAAAAAACCTAGTTAAAGTTTGTTCATGGTTGCCTAGATCACTGTTCAGAAATATGTGGTTTCGGAGATAATGGCCAAAACATGTTGGAATGTCAAATTTTTCGAAATCTATTTTAAACTAAATTTCATTTATATATACATCATGCTGTGTTTTGTTATTTTTCTCATTTCTGACATTAAAACAACTTTTATTAATGATTTAGTGATAGTCTCTACCTGAGAAATGGGTGAAAAATTTGAAGGCTGATTTCTCAAAAACTGTACTTTAAACAGCTTTATGTTTAAACTTCTGTAACTTCATAACAAAATGTCGGATTTAAATGGTTCTTCTACCATTTCATAACTATTAATTTACTGCTTAACCCTGTATTAATAACTATTTAATGTAATCATTGCCTAGATAATGTATGTATGGCCCTGACACATCATTTGTTATATGTTTTCTAGTATTGTATGTGATTTCAGTGGTTTAATGGTATTGTATTAATATATTTTATTTGTGATCATGCATTGAGTGCAATTCAGTGATTTTTAATAATTGTCTTTCATCGTATTTACAAATCTACTTCTGAATCTATATTTTTTAATTATGTAATATTGATTAATTATAATAATATTTTTGCTACATTTTTACATTTATTTAATATAATAAATGCAATTTAAATATTTTTTAATATTGAAGCTGCGAGTATATGGTCATGGTACCTGAGTTGTGTGGCCGCTACCAAAATTTGACACTTCTAGAAAAACCTTCATGCACTGTTATTATACCACTTTATGCTAAGTTTTGATATTAATTTCTACAGATATTAGTGTTAGGCCATCAAAAAACAAGGGGTTTTCTAGTTAAAAATGGTAGGCTGGCTGCACATTATAAGGTGGTCATGGGCAGAAAAAAAAGATTGATCACCATCGGGCTGCACTTTTCTCACCTTTGCACTAGAAGCTAAGCATTAGGCCTATTGCCTGATAGTCATGTGTTGACACATCATTTTTAAGTATTGTTTATTTTATTGCATGCAATATGCATTTGTGATATTTAGAATAGTTTTTAGGTAGTTTGTATTTTCATATTCATTTTACCTAATATTAAAAATCTGGGTCTGCATGTTTAGTTTGGTTTATATACAGTGGTATAGGCCAATTCATTTTAGTTACAAATACATATTATCAATTGTGTTAACTTATATATGTGTTATCAAGTTGGTTTTTTTTAAATTAAAACTGTAAAATTGTATACTTCAATTCATAATTCAAAGCCATTCAAATCCTGTCTCTTATACACATCTAGATGTGTATAAGAGACAGGTGTTTGGACTTACAGTAGCGTTTCATACTTTGTGCGTTTTACTCCAAAAATTCTGTGTCTCGCACTTAACCTGTCTCTTATACACATCTGGGCTCTTCTCATAAAGCCTTGAAATAACATCAACAATAATAATAATTTTAGTAACAATAACAACAGTGACAATAATAATAAAAATAATAAAATAATAAAAATGATAGTAATAATAATAATAATGATAATAATAATAATAATAATAGTAATAACAATAATAATAATAATAATAATAATAATAATAATAATAATAATAATAATAATAATAATAACA